CCCTATCATCAGCCTTCCCTTCGGTCCGTCCCCTCTTTTGTCAACTGCATCCCCCTCTCATGGGCACTCCCATCCACTGCATCCCCCTCCTCTCCTCGGCCTTCCCCGTTGCCTCTTCACCCTCCCTCCCACCCGCACGCATCCCCAGAAAGGGCGGCACGGCCCCTGGTCATATTACTGTCCTCCCCCTTCCCCTTCCCCTCCTCCTCCTCTTTCCTCCTCCTCCTCCTCCTCCTCCCTCCTCCTCCTCCTCCTCCTCTCCTCCTCCTCCTCCCGCAGGCCCAAGACAGCCATCTGAGGGCCTTCCCCCTTTCTCATCCTCCCTCTACTCCTCCTCCTCCTCCTTCTCTTCCTCCTCCTCCTCCTCCTCCACCTCCTCGTCATAATCATGATGATCATCATAATTATAATCATAATCATAAGCAGCATCAGCATTGTACATCATCATCATCATCATCATCATCATCAGCAGCAGCAGCAGCAGCAGCCGCATCAGCATCATCATCAGCAACAGCATCATCATAGACATCACCATCACCAATAGCATCGTCATCATCATCAGCAGCAGCAGCATCATTACCATCGCCATCTTAGTCATACTCAGCAACAGCAGCAGCAGTAGTATCATCCTCAAAATCATCATCATCATCACCATTATCATCAGCATCAACATCATCATCTTCATCGCCAGCATCAGAATAATCAACACCAACATCATCATCATAATCATCACCACCACCACCACCATCATCATCATCACCATCACCATCATCATCATCATCATCATCGTCAGCATCATCATCATCATCATCATCATCATCATCAGTATCATTATCATTGTCAGCACCGTCATCGCCATCACCATCCTCGCCATCATCACCATCATCATCCTCATCAGCATCGTCAGCATCGTCAACGCCATCATCATTATCATCATCATCACTGATATCATCATCAGCAGCAGCAGCAGGACGATCATAAGCATTGGCATAATCATTAGCAGTGAAATTGACATCATCAGCCGTTGTGTCGTCATCCTCAGCATCATTATCCTCCAACCATCACATAAACGTCAACATCATCATCACCAGCATGAACATCGTCATTATCATTACCATGATCATGCTCATCAACATCATTAGCAGCATCATCCTCATTATCATCATCACCATACTCACCATCCGATTATCAGCAACATGATCAAGATCATCAATATCATCATCAGCAGCATCGTCATCATCATCAGCAGCATAAGCATCATCGTCATCATCCTTATCTTCTCCAGCATCAGCGTCACAAGCCTTATCAACAACAACCGCAGCGCCCTCGTCGTCATCCTCAGCAGCATCGACATCACCATCAGCATCATCAGCATCATCATCATCAGCAGCAGCATCGTCATCGTCATCATCCTCATCATTATCAGCATCTTCATCACCAGCAACAGCATCATCATCAGCCTCATCCTCCTCCACCTCGTCCTCCCCATCCTCCTCCCCATCATCATCAGCATCGTCATCGTCATCATTATTCGCAGCAGCAACAACAGCAGCAACAACAACAATACATGTAAGACTGTTCGCTCCTATCTGCCCGCGTACCATTTACACGTAAATCCCAAACCCTCGGTACCCGCCCTCTTCGTCTTCGATCTTACCCCTTTGGGGGATATATTTTCCTTACCTGCAACGTGCATTTCGTGCAACCCCTGAAACAGGGAAAGAAAGGACAGATGGAAGGGGGAGGGAAAAGGATAGACCACGAGAGAAATTAGCAGGAGGGGGGCTAGGACCAGAAAACACGTAGTAGAACCAGACGGGCAGATCGGGCGGGCAGACCCTAGCAGCGGGGTCGGGAAGGCGGGCCCAGACGGCCAGGTCGGGCAGGCCGGTTGTTGAAGCGTGGGTCCTGCGTGAATCGCGAAGAGATCTCGAGCGCTAACGCGATTCCCAAGTAGATCCCTAGAAGAGCCAAAGCGAGAGCGTGATTCCTGAGCGTCGAGGGCGCGGCGTCTGAAGAAATTGTGGGGAATTCTCGCTCGAGAGCGCGAATCCTGAATGGATTATGAGGAAGTCCCGCGCGAGAGTGCGATTTCTGAAAGCACTGTGAGGAAAAACCATCAGGCGGGAGCCGTTGTTGTTGTAGCCGGGGGGCCAGGGGCACAATTTGAGCAAGAAGCCCCGAGGGCGTCCTTCAATTGAGAAAATACCATATGCACCCGTGGGGGGATCAACAATAACTTCGTCAAGAATGAGAGTTCAGCAACATATTCCGTCTTCCCATTTCTCCTCCCCCCCTTCCCCCTCCCCCTTCTCCCCACCACCCCTCCACCCCGCAGAAAGGCGCCTCGGAGCAGGCGATGCCAGTCCCCAATTGGCCGGTGAAGCTGTTAGCCAGACTGCTGGACGAGCCAGCGTAAGCAGTGGAAATCTGCGGGCGGGCGGGGGGGAAAGGAGAAGAATAAGGAGGAGGAGGGGGAGGAGAAGGAGGAGGCGCGCAAGGCACTGGGAAGGAAGAGGAGGAGGAAGAGGAGGATAAGGAAGAAAAGGAGGAGGATGCGGAGGAGGAGGAGGAGGACGACGACGACGACGACGACGAGGAGCAAAAGGAGGAGGAGGAGGAGGAGGAGGAGGAGGAGACGTAGGAGGAGGGGGGCAGCAGCAGCAGCAGCAGCAGGAGCAGGATGGAAGGCGGGAGACAGGGTGGGGGGGGGAAGGGGAAGGGAGGGGGAAGAGGAGGGGAGGAGGGGAAAGAGGTAGAGGGGGAGGACGGGGAACGAGAGGGAGGGGGGGGGGGGCGGCGGGAGAGAGGGCCGCGAGACCGACGACGGGCGCCACGCCGCATGGCGGGAGGGGGAAGGCCGCGCCTCGCCGCACGAGCCCCCCACGGCCGCCTCGCCCCGACGCGCGCGGCCCGCGCTCTCGGGCACAGCGGCGGGCGCGGGCGGGGGGCGGGGGGCCCGTGCCTCCGACCATCGGGCGGGTGGCACAGTCACCCCGCATCGCAAGGACGCGCGAGAAGGATGCAAGGGCCCTGGAGGGCCACGTCGGCACTCTGCGAGCGGGGGGGCGGCCAAGCAAAGCGGCCCAGGATGGGCCGCGGAGGGAAGGACGCAAGGGTACCCGCAAGGTTGCCCATCCTTACTACGCGGGTTGGCTGCAACGGGGGGTGAGCTACGTGTGGGGTTAAGAAAAGGGCCCTCGAGGAGCACTGCGAGGCCCCTTTGGGCCCCCTGCTGGCTCCAAAGGGGCCCCAAAGTGCCCCTCTAGGGCAATATTTCTTCACCCCTCCATTTAGGTCACCCCCCATCGCCTCCCGCCCGACACGGCCGCAGTTCTTGCTTCCATCCCCGCGTTCTTGTTCCTCGGTCTAGGCCCATGGGGCGCCTTTCATCGGGCCCTGGGGCCATCGAACACGGGCCCAAGTCGGAACGGTCTGGTCGGGACCTCTGGGGCCGCGGGCTGCAAAAAAATATGAAACCGACGGACGTTAGGGCGGGTGGGCGGCGGACGGCGGACGGGGAGCGGACGGTGGCGGCAGGTCGGGCGGGGCGCTGGGCCGTCGCTGCGGAGCCCGTCGCGGGAGGCGGCCTGTCCTACCCGGCCGCCAATAGGCTCGGCGGTTTGGCTTCTGACCCTGTCCCTGCCCCTGCCCTCCCCTCCCCTCCCCTGCCCCTCCCCTCCTCCATATCCTCATCATCCTCCCATCACCTTCCCCCGCCTCCTGATCCTCCTCTGCTCCAGTTCCTTATAACTGGTTCCTCCCTGTCGCGCCCCGCGACGTGTTGAAGGGCGGGTGGTTTGAAAACGTGATTCTCGCCTTAGCGCCACGTGCATTCGTCTCAAAAGTTCGCAAGAGCTTCACGGATTGTGGGTGGCTCGTTTTCAAAATGTGGCTCTCGCCTTAGCGGCACGCACACTCGTCGTAAAAGTTCGCAACAGCTTCACCAATGGAGGGCGGGTGGCTTTCAAAATGTGGCGCTCGCCTTAGCGTTGCGCACGTTCGTCCCACAGTTTGCATTAGCTTCACGGATTGAGGGCGGGCCTTTTTTGAACATGTACCTCTCGCCTTAGCGCTGCGCACATTCGTCTTAAGAGTTCGCAGGAGTCTCACGGATGGGAGGCGGTTCCTTTTCAAACTGTGGCTCTCGCCCTAGCGCCGCGCACATTCGCCTTAAGAGTTCACGGCAGTTCTCATGATTATGATGGTTGACGTCCAAGAAACCGTGTGTTGGCACAATGTAAAACTGTCAGGACCGGACAAAGTCGTTGATTTACGGTGTTGAAGTCCCAGGAACGGTGTTCTGGCACGGATCAGGATTGTCAGGACGCATCAGTCACGTTGATTCGCGGCGCTGCACTCCCAGGATTGGTGTGTTCGACACGGTTCGGGATCCTCAGATGGCTGTCTTCCACAAGGGCACTTCCATAGTTGAAAATAAACTCTTGCACGGGCCTGCGAGGGGAAACTTGGAAGGAAGGTTTGTTCCAACATCGTTGGTGGGTCTTGGGTCTACACTGGTCCTCATCCTCCTTCTAATCCTCCTCCTCCTCCTCCTCCTCCTCCTCCTCCTCCTCCTCCTCCTCCTCCTCCCGCTCCTGAACTGAGCTATACTGAACTGAACCGAAAACTACCATAGAACCCGTGAAGCGTGCAGGGTCACATGAACCCATCAAGGTCAAAAAGTGTTTGATCGCCTGCTGTCAGATCAATACTCCCCATGATGATCCTCCGAATAGGGGCTCGAATGGAATATGGAATTGCTTGAACTCCTCACAGGGCATCATCAGAACCCATAGAGAAAAAGGCGCACGATCGCTCGGGGAGCTGATAACACAGGATGTGGCATGGCGCTGGAGCGAAGCGGCCAGAACAAGAGCAGAGGGATATTGTTTCGCCGGCAATGTCCTGAACACGCCCCATGGGTCTCTGCCCACTGAGGTGCTGTGAGAGCCTCGCGGGTGGCGGCACCGATCTCTGTCTGGCTCCCCAGCTAGAGCATGACTGAAGCGGGGCCCACTGAGTACGCGAAACATAATTGGCCGATCACTGGGGACATAAAGCAGCACTGACCGACCCAAGCGCAATCAACCGTGACTTTATCCTGAGGCCAGCTACGAAGGTGCACGGTCTCGGAAACGTACCAAAAATTGGGCAAGAAGGGGTCAGGAGGTAGAGAAGGGTGTTCCTGAACTCCTGCAGCACCATGAACGTAGCAGGCGTATATTAAACGCACGGAGGTCCTGAAGAGCCCGTCGCCTAATTCTAGTTGAGCACCTGCTGCACGAGTCCGTCAAAGCACAACTGCACATCACCCTGGCGCCTTTGCCCATCTGAACAGGCAAAGAACGCACCGAGAAGCCTTCTTCTCCTCCTCCTCCTCCTCCTCCTCCTCCTCCTCCTCCTCCTCCTCCTCCTCCTCCTCCTCCTCCTCCTCCACCTCATCCTCCTCCTCCTCCTCCTCCTCCTCCTCCTCCTCCTCCTCCTCCTCCTCCTCCTCTTCCTCCTCATCGTTCTCCTCCTCCTCCTGCTCCTGCCTCATCCTACCTCCTCCCCCGTCCTGCTTCTCCCCCTCAACAGTTACACAATGGAAATGCTACTCTCCTCTCTTCCCTGCTGACATCCGGAGGATATCCGTTCATAACAGGATTCCCGGGAAATGGGTTTCCGTTTAGGCGTTTTCCCAAAATGTTGTTCCCGCTGCAGCGCTGGCCCTGTTTCTGCGCCTCTGGTTGTTCCAAATCGTACTCCCGCTGCAGCGCGGGCGTTTTCGGTCCTTCGGTGCCGATTCGTTGGTTTGGGGGGCCGCAGAAGCCCCCCCCCCACTTTGGGGCGTTGTCGCTTTCAGGAAGTATCAAGCAGGAGCCCCGTTTCTGCTTTGAGAAGGCGATGTTGAAAGCATAGCCAGCGGGTGCTCTCCATCAGCTCCGCCTTGTGTGGAGCTTCTCGGGGAGCCCAAGGAGCCACGACTCCAGACCGGCCCAGACCTCTCGAAGACGATCCACTCACCCTCCAAGGAACCCGGCGCCATGCCATAACATGCTGTGCGGTGTTGTGTTCTGCGCCGCTGTGCGATACCATGTTTCGCGCTGCAATGCTTTGTGGTGTAATGCTTCACTGCGCAATGCCACGCCGTGCTATGGCATGCTACGCTCTGCCGTGCTCTTCTACGCCATGCCGTGCCGTGCTCTACCATGCATCGCGCACCCTCTCGCGATCATTGCCCTGCTCGACATCCGACTTTGCGAATAGAGAGGATGTCTACGCCATGGTCAGGGATGGGAGGGAGGGGTAGGACGTCATATATGACGCGAGAGCACCTAGCTTGTCCCTCCTCCCCCTCCCCCTCCTCTCCCTCCCCCTCCTCCCCCTGCCCCTCCCCCTTCCTCCTGGTCCCCCCATCTCCCATCCCCCCCCCGCCCCCCCGCACGAACGCGGGGCCTGGCTGCCCCGGCAAGAGGAATCGATGCTGACGTCGCTGCTAACCTGCCCCCCGCTCGCGCAACAGAGCAGTGGGAGGGAAGGGGGGCAGGGCGGAAAGGGGGAGGGGCGGCGAGCGAGCACGGAGGGGAGAGGGAGGGAGCGAGGGAGCGAGGGAGGGAGAGAGCGAGCGAGGGGGCGCGGGAGAGCGAGAGAGAGAGAGAGGGCTAGGGGGGGGGGCAGGGGGGGGGAGTTGACAAAACCGCGTGTGTGTAAACGTTTGTTTTGATGGTATGACAATGCACGTTCTCGTGGAATCGTGGTCGTCGTTGTCGTCGTGCTCACACCCCTTTTCCATCCCCATGTCCTTTCTCCGCCCGCCTCCTCATCCGCCTCCTGCCTCCCTCCTCCTCCTCCTCCTCCTCCTCCTCCTCCTCCGAAGCCTCTTCTTCATCCTCCTTCTCCTCCTCCTCCTCTTCCTCCTCCTCCTCCTCCTCCTCCTCCTCCCCCCTCTTCCTCCTCCTCCTCCTCCTCATCCTCCTCCTCCTCCTCCTCCTCCTCCTCCTCCTCCTCTTCTTCCTCCTCCTCCTCGTGCTGCTCCTCCTGATGTTCCTCCTCCTGCTGCTCCTCCTGTTGGAGCGCGTTCGGAGCAGAAATGCGAATATTGTCCAACCGTGGCCATGCGAGGCCTCCTTGAGGGACGAGGAGATCCTTACACATGGGAGAAAGTAAACATAAAACGCGAGACCGATCACCTGCGTCAATCAATACAAGAAGTTCAGTTCGAAAGCATCCAAGGAGGTTCCATGACGGCACCCGAAGGGCACCCGCAAACGCCCATTTTCCCAAGTCCACAAACACACAGTATTCGGAAAAACGTGGATGCGATTATGGAATGCACAAATGCAAATCTGCGCCAGGCAACCCAAGGACTCCATTGTGAGGGCACCCGAAAAGACACCCGAAAAGGCAAACACGAGGCACCCGCAAAGCACCCAAAAGGCACCCCAAAGGCACCCGCAAATCGCCCACACCAAATTGCAAGAAACAAAAATGTCTTCGAAAACTGCGACACGTGCTATTGAAATGCGCGACTACGAAGACAATGATTTGCTCCAAGTGGACCAAGGAATCCAGCGCCAAAGCACCCAGAAAGCGCCCGAAAGGCACCCCAAAGGTACCCATAAACCGCCCCCCCTGCATCTTTTGGGGAAACGCATACCCTCGAAGAAATGTGCGAAAGGTTTATTCAAATCTACATGTGCAACAACGATGTTCTGCGCCAAGCGGCCCAGGGACCTCATGTTTGTATGCTCCCAAAAAAAAACAAATGGCATAGTCTCAAGAAGCCCGCGCGAGCAGCAGCAAGCGTTGTCAATCGCGAAACATGCGCACGTTGTGGTGTTGACATGAGTACACTCCAAAACGGTGATCCTCGACAAGCATCTGGAATCCTCATTTGTCGCTCCCCTTGCCTTTAGATGCACCGAATTCCCCCCTTTGTCCAAAACCTCCACCAAGCCTCGCAAGCACATCGTTTTCGTGTCGACCCTTATACAATTTGCATTACCTTACTAATGGATTTGTTTTGTGTCGGGTTACTACTTGATTTCTTGTGGCGGCATACAAAGGGATTCCTTTTTGTGGCGGATTGCAACTTGATCCCTTGTGGCGGATGACAGAAGGATTCCTCGAATGGCGGAATACAAATGGATGCCTTGTGTGGCGGGTTTCAAATGGATTCCTTTTGTGGCGGATTACAATAGGATTCCTTCTCTTGCGGGTTACACGATGATTCCTTTTTATGTGGCGGATTACAAATAGTCCCCTTGCGTGTTGGATTCCAAAGGGGTTCCTCTTTGGTGCTGGTTATTGTGGCTGATTACAAATTGATTCCGCTTGTGCCGGGAAAACAAAGTCATTCCTTGTGGCGAATTACAAATTGTTTCTTTCTGTGGCGGGTTACAGATGGATTCCTTTGGTGGCGGATTACATAAGGATTACTTCTGCGAAGGAATACAGCTTGACTTCCGTTGCAGGCTTTCCTGGTAGTGAACAAGGGGACACAAGAAAAAGAGGAAAATAAATAATTAAAACAAAAAATCTCAATGATTTCCCCATGCTTTGCACCAAAAACACTTCCGGAAGTCGTGAAGCCGAAACCATCTGAAAACACAGCATCTCTGTACACATATACCTATACCCAAAAACATCCGGACAAGTGATGTATCTGAAAATGCTGTGTGGTTTATCGTTGTTGGTTCCAAATGAAAGAAGATGCTGTTTTAAATGCATTTGTTGGCATCAAAACATCAAAAATTCATCGAAAAACTGCACTTGGCCTATGCTTCAATGATTTCTGTGTTTGTTTCTTTTGCCCCCTGGTTCACTACCAGGAAGGCCCACAAAGGAAAACAACGGGTACTTCTCCACAAAAGGAATGCCTTCATAATTCTCCCCAAAAGGAATACATTTGTATCCCGCCGCCAAAGAAATCCATTTGCAATGTTCCACAAAAGGAATCAATGTGCAATTGGCCTCAAAAGGAGTCCCTCTGCAATCCGCCACAATAGGAGTCAGTGTGTAACATGCCACAAGATAAGAAACGCATTGTAATCCGAAAAAAAGCTTTGAAATCCACCACAAGAAGGATCGATTTGCAATCTGTCACAAAAGGAATACATGTGTAGTCTGCCACAGAAGGAATCAATGCGTAATCCGCCGCAAAAGGAATACATGTGCAACCGTCGCAAAAAGGAATCAAATTGCCGTCTGCCATCAAAGAAACAAATTTGTAATCCGCAACAAAAAGAATCAATGTGTAGTCTGCTACAAAAGGAACCAATCTGTAATCCGCTACACATGAGGAGTCCCTTTAATAAACTACCACAGAATGCACATCGCTGTAACGCCCCATCCAAAAGATGACGAAAACAACAAGCAGCAAGAAAACAAGTACAGAAGAAGTAAAGGGCCAAAACAACAAGGTGGCACACACACACACACACACAGTTTGGTCAACCTTACGGGGAGGGGGGGCAGGGGGAGGTGAGGAAGAGAGGGAGGGAGTGGAGGAGGAGGAGGAGGAGGAGAAAGAGCAAGAGCACGAGCCGAGGAAGGTAACGGTGAGCGTCACGGCGTCGCGCGGCTACCGCGGCCGCGCCCACCCAGCCTCCCATGCGTCCAGAGTGCAGGGGGGGGGGGAGAAGGGCGGAGAAGAGAGAGAGGGGGAGGAGGCAAGCCAGGTGCGCTCGCGCCTCACCTGACATCCTACCCCTCCCTCCCATCCCTTCCCATGGCGCTGATTATTCTGCATCCGCGGACGTGTGTCATAGCCGACCTGCGACTCACGCGGCAGAAAGACCACTTCGTGTTATGCACAATCGAAACAAAGCAGAGCTGAGTGCACAGAAGGAGGAGGTGGCGGGTGAGCAGGAGGATGAGCGGGAGGGAAAGGATGAGGACGAGCAACAGCAGCAGGAACTAAAGCGAAAGGATCGGGAGGGAAAGGAGTACATAGGAAGGTGGAGGAAGGGAAATGAGAGGTGCGACAGCGATGAATGAAGACTCGGATTCACAAAAGTGGCCCGCGATGGGGCGAGACGAACAGCAGCAGCAGAAACTGGAGTGAAAGGTGCGGAAGGAACAGGAGGACCAGTGGAAAGCGGAGGAAAGGAAATGATGGGGCGGGCCACAATGAAGCAAATCTCGGATCCAGAAAGTGGCCCGCGCTGGAGCGAGAGCGCAATTATGAACGACGGGAGCAACGCGCCGATCCGAAAATGAAGCCCATGCTGCAGCGGAAGCATCATATGAAAGCATATGGAAAATAAATGACTGAAATCCTGCGTGTACACAAAGCACGCGGAGGGGGCGGGAGACCTTCCGGACAACTTCAGGGGAGGAGGGAGACTGGTACTCATATTGCTTCATTGTAGAGAGGGAGGACGGCACGGAGGAGTCAGGGAGGGAGGAGGGGCGGAGGTGGGAGGGAGGAGGCGGGAGGCCAGCCAACCTGGAAGATCCGCGTCGGCTTCGCCAAACGCTTCGGCTCCTCCCCCAGGTCCCCCAGGCACCACGCCAGGCCCTTGCGAAACTCGCTGCTGACGCGCGCCCGAGGGGGGTGCTGCGAAGTGCGAAACCGTCGACACTGTCGTGGGCTCCTGGGAGCTCCAGCGGGGCGGAGTTGTACGGGGATCCACTTGAGACCTCGCGGCTTCCTGGGGGGGGGGCTGCGAAGTGTGCAACGGTCACCACTTCCCCGGGCTCCCGGGAGGCCCCGCGGAGCGGAGCTGCCAGCTCGCCCCCGCCGCGCTGGCTGGCCTCCGCGACCCAGCGCGCGCCCCCAGGCGAGGCACGCCCTCGGGGCTCTGCACGAGACGCCCGCGCGGAGCCCCGAGAGCTCGTCCGTCACCCTCCGCTGCCAGGCCTCGTCCCCGCTCCTGGACCGGGTGCGCCGACCCGCAGCAGGAGCTCGACCACGAGGGACCTTCCACAGGAGGCCCAGCCCTGAGGCCCCAGGACGTCCCTTCTGAGCTTTCGTGCGGGAGCGTCACGCCTTCCATGGCAGAACCATCGAAACCCAAGAAACCCAGGGCACCCTGGAGGCAGGCAGGGTGTTCCTTGTCATGGGTCCCCACTGTATCAGCCCAAGCCCCTCGCGCTCCGCCACGTCCGCCTCTCTCGTGCCCCTGGTGCGCCTCCCGCTCCTCGCCTCTCGCCGACCGCGGGAGGCTCTGGAGGTGTCGCTCGAGCAGCTGGAGAAGGCAGGCCTCCGCGACCTGGCCCCCCCCGGGCGAGGCACGCCCTTGGACCTACTCGCAGACGGCCTGGATCCATCGCGGGAGACCTACGATCCATTACACCGAGGCAAGCATGTGCTTTTCGGACATGTCAGAGCAGGCACTTTGCGAGTAGTGGAACGCGCGCGGTGACACCTGCAGAAGAACAAGAAGCGGCATAAAACCTAAACTTTTGGCGCTCCGCACAGATTTCGTGGATCTGCACTGGACCCCCCTCCCTGGTGCGCGGAGCGCGCAAGGGGCGGCGCCGGAGGCGCCGCAGGCGCCGCTGGGGGGGCCCCAGCGCCGATCCCAGACATCCGCGCGGAGCGCCAAAAGATCTACGTTCGTGCGAATTGGTTCTTCTTCTCGACAGGCGCGTTCCACTACTCGCAGAGTAGCTATTCGCAAACGGACTGAATCGGCCGCGGGAGATTTACGCTCCATTACATGGACGAAGACATGATTCGCCTGACGTTTCTTTCACGAACAAATTCCATCCGAATGACGCGAGCCGATCGCGCAGCCCCAACTGAAGGGGGTGAAGGCTGATGCTGCACCTGAAGCATCAACCAACCTGATGCCAGAGGGGGGGAGAGAGGAGAAAAAAATCATCACGTGGTTTTTTGTCTGACGCTTGCGAGCAGGCACTCCGCGAGTCGTGGCACGCGCCCGGTGACCTCCGCTTGGAGCGAGGCGCACCCGCTGCGCTGCGCTCGCGCCGCCCCTGGTCGGGAGCGGCCAAGAGGGGGGGGTGTCCAAGAGGGGGGGGTGCAAATCATGACCGGCGGCACGTGCGCGGCCCAGCGGGGGGGCCGGGGACGTAAGGAAACAAGCAGAGGCGCCAGGAAATCTGGGGAGATATCATGGCCCCCGCCATGATATCCACCCCCCCCTAGTCATCACCCCCCTCTTTTCCGCCCCCGACCCCGGGTGGGCCTCCCTCGCCCCGCCGTGCGGGCGGGCGCCTCCCTCCTCCGCGGCGTGGTGTGCTCCCCGCGGGGGGGGGGCTGCTGCCGCCCGCCCGCCCGGGGTGCGCCCCGCGGGCCGGGCGGGTCGGCCGCTTCAGGCAGGCGCCCCTCCGCTGCTCGCAGAGTGCCATCGGCGTCGTTGTCGTCGTCGTCGTCGTCGTCGTCGTCGTGGTCGTCGTCTTCGGTGGCAGCTCATGGAAGCCTACCGTACCATCTTGTCGGCTCTTGCGAAGCGGCTCCAGTCGACGCTGAATCGACGCCAATCGACGCCGAATCGACGCTGATCTACGCAAACCGACGCTAAATCGGCGCTACCTCATCGACTCCCAGACGCTAATCGACGCGAACCGGAAATAAGGACGGAATTACGAAGGTATACAAGGCTCCCATGATTTGCTACCAGACTCTTCTGCTCGAAAAGTGACTACTCGCAAATGGCCTGGATCCTGCGCGGCGGACCTACGATCCATTACACCGAAGCAAGCATGTGCGTTTCGGACGCGTGCGAGTGGGCACTTCGCGAGTAGTGGAATGTGCCCGGTGACACCTGCAGCAGAACATGAAGCGGCACAGGCATAAACTCTTGACGGTCCGCGCGGATTTCTTGGGTCTGAGCTGAACCCCCTCCAGGGCGCGCGGAGCGCGCCAGGATTGGCGCAGGAGGCGCCGCCATGGGGTCCCAGCGCAGCTCGAAGACATCCGCGCGGACCGCCAAGAGGTCAGGTTTAGGTCGGGCATGTTCTCCTACAGGCGGATGTTGGACGAGCGAGAAATCATCCAAAAAACCTGAAAAAGAGCCGACACCGGCCCCAAAAAATCGTGTCCTGACTATGTTTGCCCACGTTTGGACATGCTCCTCCTGTGGAGGGACACGCCCGACTGAAATTCAGCTTTTTTTGTCCTTCGACGGTGCCTCTGCCCGTCGGCCTCGCAGGGCTCGACGAGGTGGCCGCCGGCTGGCCCGGCCGTGCCCGCCGGGGCTGGCAGGCCCCGGCAGCCTTCCTCGCGCCCGGGCACCTGCCCGAGAGGGCCGGGCGTGCCGGCGGCGTGCACCCCGGGGGCAGGCTCGGACGAGCTCCTCGTCTGCACGGTGCCGCCTCCGCCTCCGCCTGCCTACCACTCCCCCACCCTCCCTCCCCCAGTCGCCCCTTCCCACAGGTCCGCCTCCCTCTCTCCCGCTGCCTCTCCCCCACCTCCCCCCATCGCGCCTCCTCGGTCGGTCCCCTTTCTCCTCTCCCCCCTCTCGGCGCACGGCGGTGCTGGGAACGACTAGAGTACGCAGCACTGGATCTTCGCACACGCGTCGTTCGAGGCACTCGGCAACGCCAGACGAAGCAGGAGTAGAGAGAACGGCAAGGGCACGATTAGTTGGTTCGATGATGAAGCCCTCGACATAAACCTTCCGCACCTTCGGCGGCACCTGCCGCGAGGAAGGTGCGGAAAGCTGAGGTCGAGGGAAAAACCCTTCCCGTAGTCCCTCTCGGGAGGCCTGGCTGCCATTATGGTTGATGTTCTCGGCTGCGCTCGCGACCTCGGCGGCAGGTCTGGCGCGCAAGCGCCGCAGACCGCGCTGGGAAGCGACGCGAGCGACGAAGAGCAACAGGTCTTGCGCGAGATGACAGAGCGACCTCACGCCGCGGCTTACGCCGGCCACCAGCGTGGCACGCGACGTTGGAGAAGAAAGCGCTTACGCGCCGCGACCTCACGCGGCAAACTGACGCAATATCGGCGCAGTCGAACCCGTTTTTTTGCGTCGCTCACGTGCGAAACCTACCCCTACCTGTCGCCACTGGGGACTCAGAGCCTTCAGAGCGGGCACGAGCGAAGCAAACCCCCACCAGCGAACCCCTACCGCTCCAGTGAGGAGGTCCATTCTCGTGTTGGGAGGAAGGGGTTGGGAGGACGAAGCGCATGAGCAACAGCACTCGGATGCAACGACCGATACCTTCGGCCGCCTACGGGCAAGGACCCCCTCGTGTCTCCCGACCCAATCCTCCCAACCCGATAACTTTTTCTTCCTGACGAGATCGATCGAGGAGCGGACCAGCCCACCTCGGAGCTTCGGGGGGGGAATCGGAGTCCTCTTGCAAAACCCCGAGGAGGGTTCTGCACGGGAGCCTGGTAATAATGATGATGATAGGTCACCTTTATACTCCCGCACGGCGAAGCAAGTCTCGGTAGCTTCAGCCGTTAAACACTTGAGCCAAAGGCAACAGGGTTACTATTCCTCCCCAGTCACCTGAACGCTTGCATGTTAACACCCCCCCTCGGACGCCAGTCCGCACTGGCTGACGGGGAGGTGTCTTCAAACGCAAAGACAGGTTAAACCAAGCAACGTGCTGCACACAAATCGTTATAATGCCGAATTCGAAAGATCTCGTGACAACGCTTACGAGCACCATGTTTCTCAGACATGCAACATGAGCTCAAGTAAACGTTCTTGCGGTCACAAGTTTAAACGTAGCATCCAAAGCTTACACGGCAGGCTAGCATTTATATGATTTTGATCGCTTTCGCTTTTTATTCGCCAATACCTGCGGTAACTACAAAAGATGCACATGCACACAGATTCAGCTCAACAAGCCACTGCAACACGATTGTTAAGCCGAGTTAAGAGGAGAGATGAGGGAGAGCGTAAAAGAACAGCATGCCGGTCACCGGTCGCCGTTCACGAGCGGCGCGGGCGCCTCACTGACGGGGCGCGTGCGCCCCTGGACCTCGGTAACCCACGATGCCCCACACTGGCCGCTGTGTAGGACGACACCCTGTTAAGGGCCTGCATCGGGCTGTAATAGTCGGTGTCCAGGTACGCGTTAATCCGCTCCTCGACATCGAGCCAGCACCCCTCGTCAAAGCTCTTGATGGACCCGTCAACAATGTTGTGGTAGGTGCCGATGGCCCTCCAGTAACTGGCGTGGGGAGCCTTCAACAGAGGTCTACCACCTGGATTGTTACGGAGGTGCTCCTCGACCGCAGCGCCGGTAAACGGGTTCACAGTCCAGGTCGGATCGGTAAGCCAGTTGGGGAAGTCGTCGCACGGTAACCATCCAAACCAGCAGAGCTTCTCACGATGGTCGCTTTTACGCTCGGTGATATGATCAGCAGGTCAACTGTCACGGTAAAGTGCCCTCATGGACCCCTGATCGTTAAGAGCGACATCTAAGATGGTGTGGTGCCAGTAAACTGGAGGCCTGTTGATGCTGCCCTTTAACTCCTCGGCGCTCCTGACCTCGAGGTCCTCGATGAAGTAGTTGCGGTAATGCACCTGGAGCCCGTTCATGTAACGGCAATAGAGCTTGGCAAGGTCAGGCGTCGCAAACCGAATTACGGTAACTCCAGTCGAGATGTAACCGTGCGGCCCATAAGTGTCTCCCACCAGATGCTTAACGGAGACCACGGTGGGGTTGCCGTGGGGCAGCATCCCTGCCCACGTTAAGAGAAGGCCGTTAAGCTGCTTCTCGTTCATCTCCGGCACCTTGTTGACGTACACCTGCGTGTCTGGGCAACTGTGAACGTCAAACCACGATGAGTGAAGATCGTCAACGTGGAGTGGTGGCACGTATTCGTCGTCGAACAAGGACTGTACGTGCCCCACTGCGTCAACCCACTCGTCGTGCTTGGCCAACTCTTTCTCCGTCAACTGAGATCTCCAGCTGCTCGGGCCCTTCAACACGGAGTAGCCGATGAAACCGTAGGCGCGTTGGCCGTAGATGTCAACGAACACTTCATCGTAATCGTTAAGCTCCCGCCCCGTGTTGCCCTGAATGGACCGACCGCCAGGGGTCGTTAACCCCGCCTTCGCCACATGCCCGACGAAGTTGCCCTCAAACCTGCGCCAGTTGTCGCGCGTCTTCATCGTTAATGCGACTACTTCCCTGGGGTCAGGTTCCGCCTTGTAGTTGACGTCGTGGTCCTCGCTCCTGTCGTTCACCATGGGCATGTGGCCGTTGACGTGGTACAGTGGGCGGTACACGGCCCTGGCAATGTTCCGAGAGTATGCCGCAAGCTGGTCGTTCGTGCGGTTAACAGCTTGAGGCTGCGGTGGCGGAATGTGCTGGACCGATAACTTCTTGGGCTCCGGAGGCGGGGGCTTCATGCCGCTAACGCTGCTCGATGCACTTGACTCGCCAAGGCCCGGAGGAGGCGGCTTGGGCGCCCTCACGTTCACAATAGGGGCAGGACCTTTTGGTGCTTCGTCACGTTGACTGCTCTGCGCACGATCTTCATCCATCTTCATGCCGATCTGCAGTAACTCTTCCAATTCCCGTTTACGCTCATGCATGGCCTTGGGTGCTTTCTTGTAAACAGGTTGCGGCACCGTTGACTGAGGGATCTTATTCGGCGACATGGACCGACCGAACCCTCCGGTCTTGGGCGTGGTGCCGGTAAGGTCCTGAGCCGGGGGCGCGCCCGAGGCCACGGACTCGGCCGCCGCGGCGACGGCAACGGGTGGCGCCTTGGCGATTGCTGCCGTTGGGGGCAGCTCAGGTAACGGCGGAGGCACCTGCGGGATGATGGTAACCGAGGAACTGATCGGGTCATTCAAGAACCTCTGTAAACCTTCAAGTCTCTCGGCAACTCCCACCAACATGCGTAGTGCCGCATCCCGTTTGCCCTCGAAGTCCTGCAGGGGCGCGATGTTCTCGGTAAGGCGTCTGGCGGTGTTCAGGAGGTAACCAATGTTCTCGTCGATGCGCCTGTACTTGGTCGCATTCTCCGCCGCGTTAACCTCCGAGTCACGATTCTGGATGTTCAGCTCCGTAATCGTCGCCATCAGAGCGTTAATCTCGTCTTGCGCCCTCTTGAGATTCTCGTTGACGACGTCACTGGCGTGGATCAACGCAGCGTTCTGCCGCGTTAAGTCCTCGATCCTCTGCGCCATGTCATCGGCAGCCCTTTGCACCTCGTCAACGTGTTTGTCGTAGGCCCCGTGAAAGTTAATCGCCATGTTGGTGAGGGTCACGGTAAACGCGTGGGCAACGTTGACGATGTCGTCAACACGGCGGTTGAGGTTCTCACGCGTAACCGGTCCATCCCCAGGCGGGCTCTGGTCGACCACGGAGCCGTTGATGGTGAGGTTGACCTGATGAGCCGCCATGCTTTCGTTCACGCCCAAGAGTAAGAGGTAATGGGTGGAGATGGCTTTAATCGATGCAGCTTGCTTGATAGAAATGAGCTGCGAGTGTCAACATTCGATGGCCGGCGCAAGACCATGCCTACCTGTTAATGCACATTGATTCGTGTTTCGTAGGTGTGCGTTCATGCTCTCACGACTGACATACTTGGTTAATGCATCAGCTGTGTTCTCATGTGTTCCTACCTTCACAATACGGAGTACTCCCTCCTTTACCTTCTGCTGTAACCACAGTTGACACACTTCAATATGTCTCACTTTCCCCAAGCCTCGTCTGCTCGCAATGGCAATCGCAGCCGTGGCATCACTCTTCAGGGTGATCTCAACTTCCAAGTTAAAATCTCTCAGTACTGCCTGAAGTCCTAGACCAACCGATCCTCCTTTTACAAGTCCAGAATATTCTGCTTCCCCTGACGATAACGCAATCACACTTTGAGTTGCGCTCCAAGACTTTATAAGATGTTTACCCCACATCACTACTCCTCCACTCGTAGACTTCCTAGTTCGCTTACATCCTGCGTAATCCGTGTCAGTCCAAATCGTTAATTCTCGGGGCTGTTCCTGATATTGGTACACATAACTGCTTCTGCTGTGGTACTTTAAATACTTTCCTAGCTTGACCAGACCTTTCCAAGAACCCATTGTTGGCTTTGACATGGTTCTAGCAAGCTCCATCACTGAATACTGTATGTCTGATCTGTCTTGAGCTAAATAATTCGCTCTGGCCGTCAATGCCTGATACCTCTTAGTCATGTTGGGCGAAAGTTCTACCTCATCTCCCTCTTCAACTGGAATACGCTCACCTGGTACTTCAGTCCTCACTTTTACTCCCTCTAGCTCAAGCTCTTTCACAATTATCTCTGCTTGCCTTTGATCTGCCTCATATCTTAACCCTTCCTCAGTCCATTCTACTATCCTGTTAAGAATCCTGATCGCTTTCATGTCCTCCTTTCCTGGTCCAAGTCGTCCTCTCACTTTTACCTCAAACTCCTCCTTTATTTTATTTTCAAACCAATCGAGATCATGGTCACCTCCTAATAGCGTGAAGTCATCCCCATGGACCGTCAACCATAAGGCTCGAATCTCATGTTTGAATACGCATGGTGACGCAACTCCACTCTTAAACCCAACCTCGATAGCAAAGTCCACGCAACAGTCTTCCCAGTTGCTGGCTGCGCCCCTTGTTCCGTACATTGACTTTAATAGTTTTCCGCGCATGCCTGGTTCATAATCCTCGTCTGGTAATATGATAAATATGTCTTTCTTTGCCGGAGCGTAAAAGTAAGCTCGTTTAATGTCAATGAATGCCAACTTTAATCCTTTCTCGCGCTCGCCGTTCGTGAATCCAGCTCCTTCGGCAACTGCCATTGAAAAAAGCAGTTTCTGTGCCTCCAGTG